ATCATAGTAGTGAAGTTTGAAGCAATCAGGTGATTTCAAAGCTTTTTGAAAGTGACAGACTTCCTGCTGCCAGTTGGTGGCGCTATAACCGGGGTGGCGGTGCCGCCGGCTTTGGCCCTTTCATCGCTGCTCGCAGCTATATTTATATATATACACACACAAACACACACACACACACACACACATATATATATATATATATATATATATATATATACATAAATATATATATATTGTTTTTTTAAGAGACAAGACAGAATATTACTTGCCTGATCTGATTAGAAAAATAGTGTTTGTGTGTGTGTGTGTGTGTGTGTGTGTGTGTGTGTGTGTGTGTGTGTGTGTGTGTGTGTGTGTGTGTGTGTGTGTGTGTGTGTGTGTGTGTGTGTGTGTGTTTGTGTGTGTGTGTGGCGTAATTGAACAATGTAGACATAAAAACATACTCCGTCCTTTTGTTCATACAGGACATTATTCAAACTGCAAAGTGTTTACTTATATTTGTGTACACTTGCAATAAAACACAACATTGTGCTTTTGTCAAGCTATAAACTCTTGTCAAACTGTAAACTACAACTCTCTCCCAACCAAAATCTCTTACACACACACACACACACACAGTTTAAAAGCAAAAAATATCAAACAATCCTATTTAAAAACAGTCTGTGGGAGCCATCTTTTGGACATTCATCATATCGCATTGGTTTTCATTTCTTGTCATCAAACAGAGCCCTAATCTGTTTATTTTTTCAGTTACACATTCTACATTGATTAAAAAAGAAAAATCAAATGTGTTTTTATTTTATACAGAAATAAATAATCTATCATTCAGATGAGAATAAAGTTAGTGTTAGTTCAAATTTTAAGGAAAACAAATATATGATCTGAAATATAGCACATTCATTTAAAATTCATTCAGGTTCAATTACCAAACATACAATCTTAATGTAATTTAAAGCAAACAATACATTTAAAATATATGGGTTGTATGACTATTTTTTAATATAAAAAGATATATATCCAAAAAGACAAGGCCTAAAGTTTAACAAGGGTTAAACTCTTATCACTGTAACAGACACAATCACACACACAATCACACACACACACACACACACAAGTCAAATCACTTACATTTTACATGCAATATTGACTTTTTTTCTGTTTCAGCAGCGAAAATAGTTAAACAAAGATCACAGCAGAACCATCGCGCATCTCACAGCAACGCGTTCTCATTACTGAATGATTCAGCATTTTGAACGAATCGGTTGACTCAAAGATTCAATGACCAATCAATCCATAAACATCTATCTCATTCATGAATGACTCAGTCGTTCAAACGAATGAATCAATGACTCGCTCATTAAGACGGTCGCCTGGCGACACCTAATGACGGTTTAGTGTTATGTTTAAAAGTATCATTCTTTCCAACGATTGTTAATTAACTCATATTTGAAACATAAGCTATATTTATATATATACATACATATACACAGACATACACAAAAATAAAATAAAAACACATTTGAAATGTGTTTGCTTACTAAATTGTGAGCTGAACGAAAGTTGCAGCAAATATCAGCAACAGGAGTCAAATTTCATTCATCACGAGAGTGAAGAGCTGACTGAAAAGATGATGACGGAATAGGCTATTTTATGTAAAAACGCCTATTTAAGCGAATCTGTCATTGTACTCTTTTATTGTTGTGTTTTCCGTGAAAAATAATAGACTATTGAACTCACAATTCAAGCAATCGGCCCCCGAAATTGCACTAATTTTAGTGACACTAAAAAGTATGCGGCTGCACTGGCATTCATAAAGGTGCGCGTCCATGGCGACGAGCGAGCAGAACAGAGCGAACGTTTAGTTAATTTCTACTTCCATAGGAATTCATTCGAGCGCCACCATTTCAATGTCCGTGCGGACGTCCATATTATACTTTCGCTTTCAAGTTAGTGTTTTTAAACCCCCCAGCGGGAGGTTTACACAATTGGTTTACACAATCACACGTTGATTAACCGGTGGGAAAATATTCCCATAGTAACATCCCTAATATATAAATATATATAAATTCAATAGGCCTACCTGATTTTGAACACAAGAGGGCAGTATAGCACTATATATGATTTGGATTATTATTATTTTTGACTAAACAACCATTCTGGCTGTTTTTAAACTTAAAAATAATTCTTAAATTGAAAAAAAGGAATAAAATGGGTTTAGTTCTAATATTTGTATAATTTTATATAAAAATAAATGGTGTATAATTACATTTTAGAAAGATATGAGACATGCCCTGATTCTTTTTTTGACATTATTGTCCTCGATCAGAGCCCTAATCTGTTTATTTTTTCAGTTACACATTCTACATTGATTAAAAAAGAAAAATCAAATGTGTTTTTATTTTATACAGAAATAAATAATCTATCATTCAGATGAGAATAAAGTTAGTGTTAGTTCAAATTTTAAGGAAAACAAATATATGATCTGAAATATAGCACATTCATTTATAATTCATTCAGGTTCAATTACCAAACATACAAATCTCAATGTAATTTAAAGCAAACAATACATTTAAAATACATGGGTTGTATGCTATTTTTTTTTATATAAAAAGATATATATCCAAAAAGACAAGGCCTAAACTTTAACAAGGGTTAAACAATCACTGTAACAGACACAATCACACACACACACACACACACACACACACACACACACACACACACACACACACACACACACACACACACACACACACACACACACACACACACACACACACACACGTCAAATCACTTACATTTTAGATGCAATATTGACTTTTTTTTCTGTTTCAGCAGCGAAAATAGTTAAACAAAGATCACAGCAGAACCATCGAGCATCTCACAGCAACGCGTTCTCATTACTGAATGATTCAGCATTTTGAACGAATCGGTTGACTCAAAGATTCAACGACCAATCCATAATCTGTCTCATTCATGAATGACTCAGCCGTTCGAACGAATCGTTTGAACGAATGAATCAATGACTCGCTCATTAAGACGGTCGCCTGGCGACACCTAATGACGGTTTAGTGATATTAAAAGTATCATTCTTTCCAACGATTGTTAATTAACTCATATTTGAAACATAAGCTATATATATATATATATATATATATATATATATACACACATATATATACACACACATATATATACACAAAAATAAAATAAAAACACATTTGAAGCGTGTTTGCTTACTAAATTGTGAGCGGAACGAAAGTTGCAGCAAATATCAGCAACAGGAGTCAAATTTCATTAATCACGAGAGTGAAGAGCTGACTGAAAAGATGATGACGGAATAGGCTATTTTATGTAAAAGCCCCTATTTAAGCGAATCTATCATTGTACTCTTTTGTTGTTGTGTTTTCCGTGAAAAATAATAGACTATTGAACTCACAATTCAAGCAATCGGCCCCGTTATTGCACTAATTTTAAAGTGACACTAAAAAGTATGCGGCTGCACTGGCATTCATAATGGTGCGCGTCCATGGCGACGAGCGAGCAGAACAGAGCGAACGTTTTTTAGTTCATTCCTACTTCCATAGGAATTCCCTCGAGCGCTCTGCACGTGGCCATTATCAATGTCCCGTATTTAAAAGCTCTCGGTCCTCAGTCACATACCAAATATATGTATAATGTATATATAAATATAATTTTGGACACAAGAGGGCAGTATGGCCCTATGTATAATTTTGTGTTTAAACTAAAAGAGCCCCTCCCCCCCTCCCCACACAGACACAGACACAGACACACACGAATGGCAGGGTGCATTCTCTCTGTCAGAGGGAGAGGGAGAGAAAATTCTCAGAAACATCCACATTCAAACCAAAATATCTAACTTCCTCTTGGTCTGAGCTAATGACAGTTAATTAGAAAGTTGTCCGGCTTGATCTGAACCATATGCATACCTGTGTCTGTCGAGTTTCATGCAATTTCAAGCATGCTAAGAGTCTCAAAAGCATCAAACAAGAATATTAAAGTTTGATGTGTTGCCACGGCAACAGTATCTAAGATATCAATAATCCTTTCACAGGTCTACATCTGCCGTGTGTTTACATTATACACATAAAGTTTGAAGCAAATCGGGTAAAAATAAGAGGGTGATTTCAAAGCATTTAGGAAGTGACACACTTCCTGCTGCCAGTTGGTGGCGCTATAACTTTGACTCACAATAGTCACATCCATGTGATCGGGCTCTTACAACGAACACACTGTTGAAGTTTCATCAAGATCAGTTAATGTATGCAGTAGTTATGACACACTTCCTGTTTCACGTTTCTCGCCATAATTTTGTTTCCTCGCCACGGCCAAACCGTTCGAGATATCAAAAATCCCCTCGCAAACTTTCATCCTCAATGTCTTGACTTCATGCTGACCGAGTTTCGTGCCGTTTGTTTGAATTCTCTAGGAGGAGTATTTCACATTCCATTGCGTGTGTTTTACCAACAACCCTAAATAGCCGACTTCCTGTTGGGCTGGGGTAAAAAGTAAGAGTGTGAAGTATATATGAAACGAGGAGATCTACATGTGTACCAAGTTTCAAATTATTACATGCAAGCGTGTTTGATTTATGGACCATGTTTTCGGACCCCGTTCCAGGGGGCGCTGTCGAGCCCCCCTGCCACGCCCGGGTACCATCTTCAGCCCGGCCCTGATGGCCGCGGGTTCTGACATGTGTGCAAAGTTTCAGGAGTTTTTGAGCATGTTAAGGCCTCCAAAAGTGTCCAAAAGGTAGCAGAAAAATAATAAGAAGAATAATAAATAATCCTAAGGAAAACAATAGGGCCTTCGCCCTTTGGGCTTGGGCCCTAATAATCCTAAGGAAAACAATAGGGCCTTCGCCTTTTCAAGGCTTGGGCCCTAATAATAATAAATAATCCTAAGGAAAACAATAGGGCCTTCGCCCTTTGGGCTTGGGCCCTAAAAATTCTTATTTTTATTCTAACCTCATATTACAGTTAAATTATGAGATAAACTGTGGATCAGACAACCTTTGTGTTGACAACCTCAAAGTGGACTTCAGCTTTGATGGGTAAGTTAATGGTGAAGCCACAAGTTAATTTAACTGTCATCAAACATAATTCTTTAATGCTCCACCCACCAGCAATTGGCGGATGGTCGTGTAGTCTCTGCCCTAAAATTGGTGCAGTTTAACTCTGCGTCTCCTCTGTTTCTGTCATTTAGATCTACAAACATAGAGGTTGGGATAATGCAGGAGCTCAACGTGACCGTGTTTGTAGAGAACAGAGGAGAAAACTCATACAATACTCTCTTCACCCTCAGCTACCCCTTTGGACTTTCCTACAGGAGAATTATGCCTCGAGTGGTAAGGCAGGACGATGTTCATGGCATGGGGTTAAAAACAGCAAGTTAATTGTTTTACAAGTTTAGTAGTTAAAGTGCATGATTTTCTTTGAGGAATATCTATCCATCTTTCAAACTCCCTGTCCAATTTAGGGTTACAGGGATGCCAGAGCCTAAATAAAATATTATACAGTAGGCTGCTACACTATATGATCAAGAAACCCATTTTTTTTTCTGTTTGAGCAGGGCAGAGTGGATTGCCGTTCTTTAGATGGCATGCAAGGAGTTTCAGCAGGGGAGACCATCTGTCGAGTCAACAACCCTCTATTTGGAGGAAACACTTCTGTGAGTTGAAATCTATGTGAACAAACACACAAACAGCTGTCACTGTATGTTACCGAAAGTGTAACCACACATAAAAACCCACAACACAATGTAGAGATGCGTTTGTGCAGCGCAGAACGGCTCTCTCGTACTGTATGACGTGACAGACAAAGTCGTCCTGTCTGGTTCCGTTCACACAGTTCGGGTTTTCCAATAATGTGGTCCTGAAAATGTACAGATGTGAGTTCTGTTATAGAATGTGGTTGTCACTCCCATAAATAACCTGAACTGTGAGTGAACAGAACCGGGTAACACTTTAGAATACTGTATCTTACTTACTGCATAACTAATAAGGAATTATCAAAGAACTAGTAGGTAATTCTTCATTAACTACTTATTCACTGCTGTTAACTACTAAGGAAGATGTGTTAACTAATCAGTATGTAATAGAATTTTATGATTGTGTTAAGTTACAGTTAGTTAATCAATAACTAATGAATTCTGGCATACCTCCTGAAGACCATTAATTATCTACTAATTAAGGTTCAAGAAAAATAACTAAGTAGTAACTAATGAACAGTCATACAAAACTAACCTCAGATTAGTTTTTATATTTTGTATACAGTACTGTGTGTGTCTGTTTTCCTCAGCATAGAATGCCATTGAGTAAATTCATGTATTTTAGGCAACAACTGAGGCGAACTGAAAATATAGGGAACTTATTAGTAATTAATAAATAATTATTAGATAATTCACCAGGAATTATTTATAATCTGGAACAGTATTCTAAAGTGAAAATACAGGGAACTCATTAGTAATCAATAAAGAATTATCAAAGAATTATCCAGGAATTAGGCTACTTTTAACCTGAAACAGTGTTCAAAAGTGAAAATATAGGGAATTTATTAGTAATTAATAAATAATTATTAGATAATTCTTCAGGAATTACTTAGAACATGGAACAGTTCTAAAGTGAAAATATAGGGAACCCATTAGTAATTAATAAAGAATTATCAAATAACTATCCAGGAATTAGGCAACTGATAACCTGAAACGGTGTTCTAAAGTGAAAATATAGGGAACTTATTGGTAATTAATAAAAAATTATTAGATAATTCTTCAGGAATTACTTATAACCTGAAACAGTATTCTAAAGTGAAAATATAGGGAACCCATTAGTAATTAATAAAGAATTACCACATACTTCTGACTCAAATAAAACTTACTGTTAAAAAAACACTATTAACGTAATCACCTTTGTAAAATACACGACAATGACTCGTTTAAGCTACATGATATCTTCCTTTATTTCAGATGATATTTTGTTTTAACATGTATACTGCCTACATTTAAACTTGTTTAACAAACATTTATAATCAAAAGTTCAACCTTTAAAAGTAATTCAAGTAATCAACTGTTCTCGCGTCTCCACGGTAGTGTTGCTGGATCTCTTGCGGGAGCTGGGCTCGTGTTCGGCGGGGAAACTGCTTAACTTCAGACCGCCACCCTGCATTTCACTGCCCATAAACAAACAGTGCACAGCTCTAAGAACATATTTAACATCTGATGTAAATAGATTTACTATATTTATGAATAAAATAATTTGTTTGATGCAAGGGATCAGGCGTTTCCATCACGCAAAAAAGAGGCTTACTGACATCGCGTCCTTGTATGTTGCCTTGCATAAAATAAAATGATTTACAGCACAGTAATGATTTTAGATTAAATAAAACGTACACAAACCTGTTTTTCGCAGAAGAAATGCACCAAATCGGCGGCGCTGAGAACTCTCTAGAAGAGGATGCAAATGCCCGCGCTCTTGCATCACCAAATCACTGTAAAATGTGGCCTACCATGATATTGCCGGAACTTGAATGGTGCAAAATAAGTTTAAAATGTATAAGAACTAAGTATAATAATATGCTGTTTACTTTTTAAGTACTTTAAAAATTAATTACCTTTGTACTTTTACTAAGGTAATTTTGAAAATGGCCTAATTATAAGTGTACTGGAGTAATATTTTATTGGGGTATCTTTACTTTTACTCAAGTACTTGATTTGTGTACTTCTTCCACCACTACAATGCTAAAAAAAAAACTGGATTATTGTAGTGACTACTGTGTATGACTGTTCATTAGTAGTTACTTCATAGTTATTTTTCTTGAACCTTAATTAATAGATATAATGGTAGTTCTTCAGGAGGTATGACAGAATTCATTAGTTATTGATTAACTAACTGTTACTTAACACAATCATAAAATTATATTACATACTGATTAGTTAACAGCAGTGAAGAAGTAGTTAATGAAGAATTACCTACTAGTTCTTCAATAATTCCTTATTAGTTATGCAGTAAGTAAGATACAGTATTCTAAAGTGTTACCCAGAACCGTATTAAGGACTCAAAAACAGTACTGACAACTGTGTTCTGTTGCTGTGCTAACGTGGCCTTAATGAGTGACTGAGAAACTCAAGGGTTGAATTCTATCTGGTTAAACTTTTAACCACTGGCTCACCGCGGACTTTTGGACCCTAATATAGACACACATTGGAAAGTTTTTTTAAGCATCCTCTTTGTTTTTTAAAAGTTTTATAATGATTATTTCTTACCTCATTGTTGCAGGCCGTGTTTCACATTATTTACAGTATTAATAAAGAAAGTCATTTTGACCAAAAGGTGACATTCAATGCATCTGTTACCAGGTATGGTGTTCATTTTTACTTTTATAGTCAAGTGGTCTGTAGTATGTTCAGTGCTAATTGTAATCTATGTCAAATGTATTTGAATTTCATTTACATGCATAGTAGCACAAACTAAAATGTTCTGTCATTTCCAGTGGAAATACAAATCACTCTGAAAACAGTGAACTATTAAAAACGAGAAACATCAGTGTAAAACATGCAATCTATGTTGCCTTGTTGAGGTCAGTGCTTTTATTTTTGCTGTAGTATGTTTAGAGTTCTGTTTTTGACATTTGACATTTTGCTTTTCTCTCATTTCTATTCATAACCTCATCTACTGTGTTCTGTGTTTCTCCTACAGACATACGGATTCCAGCATTTACATAAATTTCACGAGTGGAAAAAACAATCTGGGAAAACCAGTGAAACAGATATTGGAGGTGAAGATGCTTCTTCCTTTATTTCACCTCATATCCGTACTGAAACAAAATCAGTTGTCTGTATCAATAAATCTCCCTCTGTTTATGTCTCTAAGGTGAAGAATGAGTTTAGAGAGCTAAATTTAACAGTTTTCATTAGAGTACCTGTAAAACTGGGAGCTGAAAACATCTGGGCTGACAATAAGTTGAAGGTAAAAGCGTATGCAAAGTATGAATCAAGGAGAAATAAACAAGAAGACCTTTAGCGCAAATGCTTTGTCATTATTGTAGTCCATATTTTCGTGGTCCAAATGTACATATTTATGCACTAAAATTGTCTGTCAAACCTGGACAACATACTTTTTTGGCCGAAGACAATACAAAAATAATCAATTTTGTTCCATTGAAAAACGTCTTGTGAGTTTGGATTGGCATGAAGACAACAGTATTTGTGGGTGAACTATCACTTTAAGTGTTACAAATATGTTTTTCTATATAAAAGATTCCAGATTGCTTTAGGGAAGAAGATGAACAACCCACCACTAGTGATTTTCTTAAAGTGCTCAAAAAGAAAAATGTATTTGTGAGTAATTTTTAACTTAATCATTTATTTATTACCTTTTTATTTGAAATTTTGAATAAATGATATACTTTAAATGTAAATAATTTGTCAAATTAAACTTGTTTGATTTGAATTCAACACTGTTAAACATGTTGTAATATGTCTTTCTGCCAGAACTGCTCTGTGGCGGTGTGTGCAGTGTTCAGGTGTGATGTGAATCTGATGAGAAATGAAAGGAAGTTCTATAATATCTCTAGCAATGTGAGCTCTGGATGGATTGAGCAGGTATCTGAAGTTACTGGGTGTTGAAATCTTTGTTAGAAAAAAGATATCTTCACAATATTTATTATTTTTATAGATCGGGGCTAGGTCTGCTTCTTTTGAGTTGGTCAGTACAGCATCTCTGAATTATGATGAGGACAAATATACGTACTTCTCTGATTCTCTCAGCTCTGCACCAGTTTGCGAGGTAAGGAATACTTTACTAAAGCCTGTTATAATTCTCCAGCTGTTAGTGACATTTATAGCAGACTTTAACTGTCTACTAGAGATAGAGTTGTATATTCCATCTAATTGGATGAAATCTTTGTGTGCATGTGAAGGTGAACACTCAGGTGGAGGTCTATGAAGAACCCAGCCTCCTAAAGGAGGTCATTGTAGGAGTTATTGGAGGACTGTTGATCATCTCACTCATCACAGCCACCCTCTATAAGGTGCAATACACCAGCCTGTTTATAATTCATAAGTAGAGAACTTTAACAAAATATATTGCGATGGATTTTCACGATTAATACCGTTCTGAATTATAAGACATCCGTTCAGGACATCAATATAATCCCGCGGTAACTAAAGAGCCTATCCTTTAGTCGTGTCCTCAAGAGTTAGGTGATCAGTCTATATAAATTCGTATTCTATTATAGAGATAATAGATTTCCCCTTTATATTGTAAGTCTACCTTTTGCGGTACTCTTCAACCGTGTTCACACTATAACAGTTTGTAGTACATATATCACTCTATATGTTTACATGTTATATGCTGCCTCTTTGGCTAGGCTGTTTGATCAATCAAATTCAACAGTGAATTATTCTTATCTCAAAAGAATTCTCACCCCTTGATGTTGGTTCTCCCCAGAAAGAATCTTCTTGATTCAGTTGAAGGAAAGTGAACAGCACTCAATGATCCAAGGTCCAGTCAGATGATTATAATAAATGTAACAAAATTTATTAAAACAATCAAATGAAAAAGGAATACTTGTTACAGATCATAAATGAGTACTAACTAACAGATAGATACTAGCTAGGCTTGAAGCTTCTTGCCTCTGACAAATGCTGGCGTGTCAGAGTGTTGGTTGCAAGGAAGAGCGAAGAGTCCGTCTGACTCTCCTTCTTTTATAGCCAGGTTTCCACCGGTACTGGTGGTAGCTATCAGCAATTTCTTTCCGCAGATAACAGCAAACACTTTCGGTAGCTAACAGCAAGCACTTTCGGTAGCTAACAGCAATCACTTTCTGCAGCTAACAGCAAGCATACAGGTCCTTCTAAAAAAATTAGCATATTGTGATAAAGTTCATTGTTTTCCATAATGTAATGATAAAAATTAAACTTTCATATATTTTAGATTCATTGCACACCAACTGAAATATTTCAGGTCTTTTATTGTTTTAATACTGATGATTTTGGCCTACAGCTCATGAAAACCCAAAATTCCTGTCTCAAAAAATTAGCATATCATGAAAAGGGTCTCTAAACGAGCTATTAACCTAATCATCTGAATCAACTAATTAACTCTAAACACCTGCAAACGATTCCTGAGGCTTTTAAAAACTCCCAGCCTGTTTCATTACTCAAAACCACAATCATGGGTAAGACTGCCGACCTGACTGCTGTCCAGAAGGCCATCATTGACACCCTCAAGCAAGAGGGTAAGACAGAAAGACATTTCTGAACAAATAGGCTGTTCCCAGAGTGCTGTGTCAAGGCACCTCAGTGGGAAGTCTGTGGGAAGGAAAAAGTGTGGCAAAAAACGCTACACAACGAGAAGAGGTGACCGGACCCTGAGGAAGATTGTGGAGAAGGACCGATTCCAGAGCTTGGGGGACCTGCGTAAGCAGTGGACTGAGTCTGGAGTAGAAACATCCAGAGCCACCGTGCACAGGCGTGTGCAGGAAATAGGCTACAGGTGCCGCATTCCCCAGGTCAAGCCACTTTTGAACCAGAAACAGCGGCAGAAGCGCCTGACCTGGGCTACAGAGAAGCAGCACTGGACTGTTGCTCAGTTTTGCATGTCATTCGGAAATCAAGGTGCCAGAGTCTGGAGGAAGACTGGGGAGAAGGAAATGCCAAAATGCCTGAAGTCCAGTGTCAAGTACCCACAGTCAGTGATGGTCTGGAGTGCCATGTCAGCTGCTGGTGTTGGTGCACTGTGTTTTATCAAGGGCAGGGTCAATGCAGCTAGCTATCAGGAGATTTTGGAGCACTTCACGCTTCCATCTGCTGAAAAGCTTTATGGAGATGAAGATTTCATTTTTCAGCACGACCTGGCACCTGCTCACAGTGCCAAAACCACCGGTAAATGGTTTACTGACCATGGTATTACTGTGCTCAATTGGCCTGTCAGCTCTCCTGACCTGAACCCCATAGAGAATCTGTGGGATATTGTGAAGAGAAAGTTGAGAGACGCAAGACCCAACACTCTGGATGAGCTTAAGGCCGCTATCGAAGCATCCTGGGCCTCCATAACACCTCAGCAGTGCCACAGGCTGATTGCCTCCATGCCACGCCGGATTGAAGCAGTCATTTCTGCAAAAGGATTCCCGACCAAGTATTGACTATTGAGTGCATAACTGAACATAATTATTTGAAGGTTTTTTTTGTATTAAAAACACCTATTTTATTGGTCGGATGAAATATGCTAATTTTTTGAGACAGGAATTTGGGGTTTTCATGAGCTGTATGCCAAAATCATCAGTATTAAAACAATAAAAGATCTGAAATATTTCAGTTGGTGTGCAATGAATCTAAAATATATGAAAGTTTAATTTTTATCATTACATTATGGAAAATAATGAACTTTATCATAATATGCAATTTTTTTTAGAAGGACCTGTATATATGTCAGAAGTAGGGCTGTCAAATGATTAATCGTGATTAATTACATCCAAAATAAAAGGTTTTTTTTACATAATATATGTGGGTGCACTGTGTATAATTATTTTATATATATAAATACACACACATGCTTGTATATATTTAAGAAATATTTTCATGTATATACTGTATATAGATTTATATATAATTTATATTATATATAAATATAAATATTTTATATATAAATAAGATTTTTTTCTTAAATATACATGCATGTGTGTATTTATATATGTACAAAATAATTATACACAGTGCACCCACATATATTATGTAAAAAAAAAAATTTATTTTGGATGTGATTAATCGTGATTAATCATTTGACAGCCCTAGTCAGAAGATAACAGCAGGATATGTTTTAGCTAGCGGCAGCACACCCTAATTCTAAGTATATAGGAGGTGAGATAACATCAACAGTGTACTTGGAAACTGTGAAAAGCAGGGTGGGGGTCTGTGCAGCCTGTTCATGCTTAACAGCAGCTTTGTGGGTTAAAGGTTCTTCCCCTCAAACAAGTCATACATAGTTCATACATTGACCACAATCATTTATTTTATTCATTTGTACATTTCAAATGTCTATATCCCTTGATAGCCCAGATATTTCTTTTATTCTGGTCATCTTTTGAAATGGGGCATCAGAGGAAGCGATTTAAATGTCACACATATGAGCCATCTAAATCACAATATAATGATGTCTTTTCTTTTTCTCTTCTAGTCTGGGTTTTTCAAAAGAAAGGCCAAGCAGCAGATAAAGGATTTAACACAAGAAGCTGATGAACTGGAATATCTAGATAGAAATTAATGCAGCATCGATTTATTACTTTTTTTCACTTCTAATGCTTCCATCAAAATGAACAGATGTACAAAAATGTAATAGTCAATTGATTCAAATAATAATGATTCATTTCATGATTCTTTGTTTCTAACATAGCTAGGATAACCAACACATTCTCATCCTTTGGCGTCATAGGGGTGACGCCATATGACATTTCGTCGAAATCTTACGCACATGGCATCCTTTAGCGTCAACATAACACGCACTGTTATGGGTAGGTTTAGGTCTGGGGTAGGGTACGGTTATGACGCCTTGGGATCTGCGTCTCATATTGACGCTAAACGATCCCATGTGCGTTGGATTTAGACAAGCGTCACCTGTATGACGCCTTGGGTTCTGCGTCTCATATTGACGCTAAAGGATGCCATGTGCGTAAGATTTCGACGAAATGTACAAAGTGTCACATGTATGACGCCAAAGGATGAGAACGGGCTGGGATAACACACACACACACACACACACACACACACACACACACACACACTAGAGAAGGAGTGTTGATTACTAAAGAGGAGGACTCAAAAAACATCAGCCAGTTTAGAACCATCTCCTTGCTGAGTGTGGAAGGGAAGATTTTCTTCAGCATTTTAGCTAAGCGGCTAGCTGATTTCTGGAGAATAGATGTATTGACACTTCAGTGAAGAAAGCTAGCATACCAGGCCGCTTGGAGCACACCAGAGAAGCTAAGGAAAATAAGGAGGATCTGGTGGTACTGTGGTTATATTGCCCCTCAACCCGGTGCTGAAAACACTGCAGAGGCACCACGCGACTACAGCCGGAGAGTTACTTCAGGCTCAGGCTTCAGGCTCGGCTCAGCCCCGGCACATAAGCCTGCTCGTTTGCAGTCAGTAGCCTACTGGAAATTATGTCACATACAATTTGATGAAAGTGATGCTTTTGAAAACATATTTCTGACAATAAATGAAAGATTTTTGAAATGGCATGTCTATTTTGTCTCGGCGGAGCTGAGATGAGAACAATCGGAACACGGCCGTATTTTTGTTCAGCTACTTAATCTCGTTGTCAGTCGACCATGATCGCGCACCGCTCGCGCATGCGCATCTGACACGGATAAATGTACGCTGCAATAATGAATGTTCCTGGGAGACCGTGGTTGCGCGGGATGTGGATGTTCCAGAAAGTGCCCTGCATGGCCTTTAATGACAAGGTAAGGAAAATAAGACTAAATCAAAATGAAATAACCAGGACTAGGTTGACCATGTGATTTTTCTCAGGAGATGTTTTGAGCATTTTACTTCAGATACCGGATTATCAGCAAACTGCCAAGAGAACTGCTAATTTAACGTTAGCTGGCTACTTAAAATAAACTAGCAATCTATTCACTCAGCATATTTGTATTTGATCTGTGTGAATTACAGAAATATAAGTGTAACCCTTTTCTTAACCCTAGTGGTTAATTTAAATGTTAGCCAAACAAGAAAATCTGGATTCCCGGCAGTTGAATGGTGAATTGGCCGGTATTTTTCCCTTTAAAAGAAAAATTAAGTAAATTATCTTTTTTTTTCCCTAAAGCCTACCAATTACACAATACGTGTACTAAAATACTAAATTAAATAATTCTTATTTATAGTTTCCCAGAAGTCAGTACCTTGTTGAATTAATTAATTTACCAAACTCCAAAAAACACCAGAATTCAAATGTTAAGAATAATAAAAAACAAATATTTATTTTACATTAATAACCCCCTTTAAAATAAAAAAAAAACAAGAAACTACTTATTCTCTTGTAAATAAAATGTCCAACTCAACTTTCCAGCCTCAGAATTGTTTGTTCTCTCCCTTATGTTTTTTCCACTTGAATTTATACCTTTTTAACTTTCCTCCTGAAACATGTACAGCAATAAGGAAAATAAAACAATATTTCCTTCAAAACAAATTAAACACACTTGAAGATTCACAACAAAGTTTTTCTCTTTCAGTATCGTTATGCAAATCAGTTGCGAGTCAGTGACGCAGTCAAATATACGGTCGTTCGTTATCGTTGGGGCCCAGTTCGTTGGTGCACATTTACAGCTGATGAATTCAATGTAGGGCTACATTCAACAGTCCCGAAAATGAGTTCACTTACGTCCATCCGACGAAAACAGCAATGGTGAAGTCACTTACAACAAGACGAACAGTTTCACACGAGCAGTCCTGGACACGCGATGAATGCAGCTGATCCACGTCCCACGACGACGAACCAAACGATCTTTCCAGTCCCGGATAATTTCCGAAGTCCACCACGAACGTCCAATAACTCCGACACAGTTATTGACCAAGGATTTGAATGTCACTAGCTGTTAAGCCCTCATGACACACGTCTTGACTCAGCGCGTTGACTCAGATCACGGAGAAAATAACAGAAATACAAAAAAACACTTCAAATAGCTAAAATAAAATAAACAAAGCGTCGTTTCTCTACACTTTGGGCCTTATATCAAATAGAATATATTAAGTCTCCAAAATGACGCACTTCTAACTCAAGCAGTCAAATTTTTATCGTCTTCTCATGCCATGTGCGATGCTCCTCCCCCTTCACGTAACTAACGTTATGACGCAAACTTATCATGCTCAACAGTCACTGGCCAGCAATAGTACATTTACATTCAACACTATTCTCATTGGATATGAAACAAAAACATGTAGTTGCATCACATTGAAACAAACAAATAAAATGAAAAGCACAAATTTCAACATTTTAAAAATACTTTTTTTATATTTAGGGGTCCCTACATAAGACTTGCTAGACCTAAGTTACTTTTAGCTACCAAGCTCTGTGGTTAATGAAAATTAAATCAACCATTTATTCACCAACTTTCAGAGATAAATTGAAATGAGTGGAGCATATCCACCCAAGAAGAGGAAACTGACTTACTTCACTTCTAACACTCAGACATGCTGTTGAAACAGTTGCTGTAAGTAGTGCAGAATGTGAGAGAGGTTTTTCTGAAATGAATGCAATTGTTACACCTTTACGTTCCCTGCTGAGAATTGAAAATGTGTCCTCTCTAATGTTTGTTAACATTGTCGGCCCTCCATTAGCATCTTGGGACCCCACTAAATTTGTTAGAAAGTGGGTAGCAAGGAGGAGATCTGCAGAGCACCTGGCGTGTAAGAAAAGGCAGACTAATACTGAGGTGTTTGCATACCAGCCATTGTGGGAAGTAATGAAGTTATAGATGAGTGATGAGTTATAGATGTGTGTTCTCTGTACTGTTTTTAAGAATGTGTATGAAATTAAATGTAAAATCAAAATTAAATTACAAAGGTAAAACACAAATAAATTCAAATGTTGATTGTAAAACTAACCAGTGTTATCATCATTTTTATATCTTAAAGCTGCAGTCCGCAGTGTTCGCCATCTCTGTTCGAAATCTGCAATTGCAGTTATTCGCGGAATTATCAACTTTACGTGGGTTGTGTAATGAGGCAACCACTGGAGCCAGAAATCAAAACTTTGCATTTTTATGTGTGTGTGTGTGTGTGTTGTCGTAGTAAAGAGAGAGAATGGGAGAAGGAAGTTTGTATGAGGTGGACCTGGTCACCACAGACCCAAATCTTCTCAGCTGTTGCTACTGTCATATGCTGCACTGTCTCTCCATGTGGCACATTATGTTTGGCACATTGTATGGGTCACTATATCATAACAAGGTAATACAACGTGTAATCAAGTGATGACTGATTAACAGTAATGTAAATGCTAAATGTCCTAATACCTGTTGCAAAGTAAATGCTCTTAACCTTGCAGTTTTTCACATATCATGTAATACTCAATTTCTCCATTTCTTTGCACAAAACTCTCCAGAAAGTGCTATTAATTTTTTTTGCCCCCGGACCCCCCTAGGGAGAGCACCCCCACATAATGAATCCCAATTTAACCCCTGCTCCAGACTCTAACTGAACTGGTGCATTGATATAAAATTGAATAACCCCAGATAGAAGGGTTAAATTAATGATTGATGGTTCGTGCAGGTCATGTCTTATAAGTGCATAGCTATAGAAACTTGGGATTTCATCATCTCACTCTTATAACTAATCCTTTCCTCACTTTCTTTCTTTCTGCAACTCGTGTGAATGTGTGTGTGTGTGTGCGTGTGTTAGATATTAGTTTTATCTGTTAGAATAATCAAAAAAGTCTTGTTTGTATTTTAAAAAGAAGTGTTCTTGTGTTATGTGCTTACAAATTGAATGTTTTAAACTGCTGATCTTTTACCTTGCTAATAAATAGTGTTTTCACTACAGTTTGGAGATTTATGTCTGCTGCAGAGCTGATAGTTACGGCCACTTCAAATTAGCGTAAAATAAGTGACTCTTTCAAAATATAAATGATAAATTCTCTTTGAGCTAAGCTGACCTGTTTCCCTTACATTGGTTTCTTTTGTGTATAGCAAAAATCTTTTGCATCTATTTTTAATATAAACAATAATAGACCATTGCACCTTATTACGTCGCACTATATGTGCATAGTTTGCCCATTTGTTTATATAGTTTGCACTTTTGTATGCTGTCTGTTACTGCTGTTTGCACCTTGTATTGCGCAGGTTACTGCAAATAAAGAACAATAACATAACTTTATGAGTAATTTCACTAAAAGTAACTGTTTTTCAACATCAATCAGCTCCAACTCCAACATAATCCACTCAGTTTCAGTCGCCATTGTTTGTAGTATCCAAACTAAAAAACAGCGGTGAAGAAACTCAACACAGTGGAACATAAGCCCTATTCGCACGGGATTAGTATTATCTTGGGACCTCGTGTGAATTTGAAATTACCCACCCACATCTGAATTTCGTGTGGCGCATTCGCACGGGATAACCGAAGCCTGTGATTTTACTCGAATTTACTGACTTATCTCCCGGATATGATGTCATTAGGCCATTGCTTGGAAATGTTTTGTCGTTATTATATGTCTAGCTGTATGCTTTATCATTAACAGAAGAATTGTCCTTACCGTATGCTGCTATGCATGTCATTCATCTCCATCTACCCAGGTAGCAAAGAATTCTGGCCCAGATTTGGCATGTGTCTGGCACAGCTGGCATTCATCCGGCACTGGCATACAGCATGTGGGCCAAACATGGCCCGGGTTTG